GATACAATCACAGATCGACAAGCTCCTTTTACAAAGGTAAAGGTGACCGGAAATAAGCTATTTTCATGTTTCTGAAGAACTATATTCCTTTTTTCTGTTTTTCTTTTACCTGTTTCTAATGCGGGCTCCAACTCTGTGTGAATTGGAAGAAATCCATCCATATATGTGTGCAAGCAGACATTGTCATGCGAGTGTGTTTTGTGTGGACATTGTGCCAGACTAAGTCCACCCGGGCTTTGTGTCAGTCAGTCCCTGAGGTTGTTAGTAGCAGTGAAACTGTCTGTGTTCCTGCCTTGGTTGTACTCTGGGATGGGTTTGAGTGGATAATGGCTCACGTTTTAGGATCGTTTGTTGCTGGAGCTGTTGGCCAAAAGCTGTGTAATGCTTGTGTAAGGCCCTGTACATGTGAATACAAGCTCATCACACTGAAATTGTTTTTGTTAGAAAAAACACTCAATGCTATAGGGTTGGTAATCCTGAAAAAGCTAGCAAGAGCAGGCTACTCTTTGGAAGTATCCAACTGATACATCCCACCCCCACATCGGCCCTCTCATCAAAGCTGCGCCTCCAAAACACCTGAACGTGCACTGCCTGACAACTGCCAGAAGCCGCCTGACTCCGAAACTTGTGACTCTCGTCTCTGCCTTAGCTGTACATGCCTCGCTGACTTGTAAGGATTCTGGTAATGCATATGCAGGGTACATGCAAGCAGCCAGGTCAGTTAGTGACAGACAGGTACACCAGCATCATTTCATTCTGTCTCAATTAAATGACTTGTCTTATTTATGGTGATGGCCACAGACTTTTTATTGTTGGCAGGATGTGAAGAGCATTTCAACAAATGAGATAAGTGTTTCAAAAACAACTTACCATCCCTATCATTGAGTTTTATATTCTATTTGCCTATTGTAAAAAATGTCTCCCTTGCTCTCAGGTGACTTTATTGTTCTAAAACATTTAAGAACTGGGGCCAAGATGGAGATTATGCTGGTGTTAGACTGTCAGACGGTAAAAGGTCATTTGATATTCTCGACAGCGACTGGAGTCATAGCAACCAGTGAAACAAGATTAAGCAAGCAGATATTTGATTCTCTCACCATATGGTTACTGCTAAAAAGACCTGAACACCTGGCAAATTCTTCTGCTATCCTCCTCCCTGCATTTCTTAATGAGCCAATTATCAGCCTGAGCAAAAAACTATTTGACTTTTTTTCAAACAGGAATTAAAAGAATACAACTGTAAAAACCAGCACCTGACATAATGTTGCCAGTGGCCAAATTCGACTCACTACATAAAAAGTAATGATGATAATGGGAACATCATATTTCTGTCACATGTGACATGTGACGTTTCAGATCAGAGACTGTGCATTTGGATTTCCTTGCATTTTACATATCTGGCTGAATACTTGCAGCACCAGGGAAAAACTAGGTAACAGCGATTATCATCAGAGTAACAATAACTTGTATGTGATAAGTGAGGATGTGTCACTGACTCTTCACAATCTCTGCAGGACTGAAATTATTTCATTTCAGTCCAGCAATCCAAGGCAACATGATCACTGCTGTATCAAAGAAGAAGAAACTATTATTCTATATCTTGTTTGCTTAAATGTTTTTACAGACACACACCACATGGTTAATGCTGCTTTTAAGCTTTAGGCTTTGATAATTATACTGTAAATCACAATAGAGAGTTGCAGGGGGCAAACATCATTAAGCACTAAATGCAAATGTGGATGGTGGATGACACAAAAAAAGGAAATACAAGGAGAAATTACACCAGAATCCACAATAAGTATTTGGTCATTAAATCAATTTCACCTCACAATGTTTAGTAGCAAACCTACAGAATGCACAGAGCAGAATCAGGTTATTGGAAGAGCTTATAATGAGACCAGTAGGTCAGAGGTCCAGTCAGGGACACATAGCACCCTGTGGGACAGGGATTTACCACCAGAGCCGCCCCCTGAATCTCCATCATCCAAACAAACAATAACATCTGCAACATTGGAGGCAGAGCTCTTCTGTGATGTTATCGCTTGTACACATCAAATCCCTGATCTGCCCTCTCATTGGAGGAGGGAGGAAGAAATCCTCATCTTGAATCCCACAATCATTAGCATAAATCACTGCTGCAATTAAAACCTCGTTTATCTTAATTACTGAACTAATGAGACGAGTCCCGCAGGAGTGAGCCGTGATCTCTGAGGACACTCGGGGCGAGGAGCAGGAAGGCAAAAGAGGCGCTGTGCAGAGTCACATTCAAGTGTGCCAACAAGTCTGCCCTTTCGCTAATCTGACTGCAGAACACATGAGCTGGGAGAGACAGACACTGTACATATGTGCAAGTACACTGTACATGTACACATAGAATGCACAACACGAAATGCATCATCTGACAACCTCACCCTCCCACCTTTATCTCATGGCACCGCACCACCCTTCAACTTCAATTATCTATAAAACTCATAATGATTTTATCAAGCCTACAGGCTTCATCTCCATAAGGGCTTAGTGCGGTGCTATAACTCTTGATTTTGCAACGAATGGGAATACATCGCATCACCTAATTAATGTCTTTTTAATGCTCTTCTCCTCTAGAGCTTAACTCAGCCCTTCAACTTTGCTACAAACACAACACACAACAACACACCGTGTGGCAGCAGGCGGTAAGTAAGACTGAGTAGGTGTGTGCACTGAATGGGAGACGAGTGTTTATGGTGAGCTCCATGAAGAAATGGGCTAGGCTGTGGACTGATTGTCCTGACTGTATAGCAATCAAGTGCACACGTGCATTAAAGCACATCCCTTCACAAATAATACATGACTGTGCACATGTGCGCACACACACAGGGTCAAATTTCTTACTTCAGCGGTGAGGTCAAGCAGTGACTCAGCAGATGGCAGAACAATGAATATCTTTATCACCCAAAATTCCCATGGTGCACCAGGCTTATCAAGCAGTGCCAGCCCTTATCAGCCAGCTGGCAACACTAGAGGCACCGATGTCCTTCCATCCTGGCCATTCAGGGCTCGACAGGGGGCATGCAGAGTTTAAAGGATACCTTCCGCGCACGGCGGTAATCCTCCCAGTGGTTGTTTATTTTCACCACATACATCAGTGTTTCAGTCCTGAAGGATCTTGGCAGGATTGTTTGTCTTTCAGGATTGAAATGTTGATTGTGGTGAAAATAAACACCCTATGGGGGCATTAAGGCAGTATTATTATTACAGCAGCGCATGACCTGCAGAATCAAAACTGTTTGTGCATTTTATCTTAATAAGAATATGGAGTTCAACAGAAGAGGTGAGCCAACGGGAGAAGCTGCAGAAACGTGTTCAAGAGCCACCTCATGATTATTTGTTGAAAAGAACAAACGATATTTGGATGAATTAAGTAAATATAAGGTGAACAAGACAAACAACTCCATGCACCCACATATAAGTTATATTTTGAGTAAAATAATTTCTCAAGTTAATGCCAAGAAGAATGTGTGGCTGCCATGAAGTTAAAATATAAGAATCCAATATAAAAGAGGGGAAACAGAGGACCCACTCTGAATTCATGCCATGTTCTGACCTTATTGTGCACAATTATAATCAAGAAATCAGTGATGTACCAAAGTACATATTTTATGTATCTGTATTTTACTTAAGTAGAGAAAATATCTTGACTTTCTATTGCACTACATTTTCACAATTCATTGCGTTACATGTTTACACATTTTTTACTTTTAATTAAGTAAAAATGTCTGAGTACTTCCTACAACACTGCAGGAAACCAAATGGTGCTACAGACCTCAGATGTTACAGCATGAGTAATTTAGCTCATGTTATTGAGCTGTGATCATTGAGTAATACTTGCTCCATTATAAACTTACTCTGAGTTGAGACAGCTACATTCATCTGGGTATTAGAAGAATCACGCTAAAATCAAAACATAGAAGTCCAATTCTCTCTGTGCTTTTTGTTGCTACTCCGCACTGTATCTTCACACACTTCTTTATCTGTTCATATACCAGAAACATTTGAATTTTACCATTTTGACAAATGGACAATGCTAATAACAAAAGTTTACCAAGTAACATAAGTCAACAGAGTATAACACACATATTATAGCGCAGTTGTTTGGGTGTGCACAAAAACAATAACTCCACTAACAAGTGTGCATTTCCCAAAACATTATTTTGTCATTAAGAGTTTCTGATTTCTTCATCCTACAAACTTACCAAAGGGATTTGGAGTCATTCCTGTATTTTTATGCCATTAAAGAGATAAGGCTATGACAAGATATGCGCATGTTAGACAAAATCAAACTTTGAGCTCCTTGTCCGTTCACCAAGTTTCGTGGAAATCTGCTCATGAGTTTTTGAGATATTCTCCTGACAGACAGACAAGCAAAAGTAACTGGCAGGAACAAACATTTCATCCTTGGCAGAGGTAAGAAAACTCGGTTTAGGAGCATTAGAGCAGGATCAGTGCTACAGTCTTATCAGCATCATACAAACTGTAGCTTCCTTTCTTCCTCTTTAAAGTTAAAAGCTCACGTATAATTACACCAACACGTGATGGAGTTTAGGAAAACGCCCAGTATGGTGATCATTATCACCGATATTTTATCATCTTTACCCAAAAAGCCTGCGTGACACATATAATAAAACAATTGTACACAAGAAATACAGAGTATCATGAGATCATCCTCTTCTGCCAGGAATAAAATTTGTCACTCTGACAAATTAAAATCCTCCTTCTGATGGCACAAGCCAACGTGTGAAAGATAACACAAACTGAAGGCTGACTTCCACACAACTGCACTCAGCACTGATTAATAACTGCTTACAGGAAAGCCTATTCTCCAATTCTGAGGTGCTGCTCTCTGCTGTTATTGATTGTTGTGCTTGATGAGACTTGTCTATTATTGCTGTGGGATTATGATAAGAAGTGATCGATACCCCTTCTCTGTGCTGCAGATGTCAGATTGATTATGTGACTCAGACCTGAGATGATGGTGTAGCCGATGCCTCTTGGTCGGCCAAGATCCTGGTCAATGGCTGTTATCTTCCGCACTTCATATCCCTGCAGAGAGAGACACACACACACACACATACTGTATAAGCTGCATGAAGTGTTCACAGTCTCATTTTAAGCTTTTCCATAGTCATTTTCAATTTTTAATCGGACTTGTTATCAGTGACAAGAAACCTAGAATCAAAGTGCCCATCCAAATTTGGCACAATAGATATACAGACATTGAAACCAATGTTAATTTTGCAACGATGAACCAGAATCTTACTTATTTTATCACTGTATTGAATAATGTTTTGGACTCGACTTAAGGTTTATGTATTGTATAAATCTCACTGCTAAATTTGACAGTACAATGTTATATCACATTTTAAAGATGAGAATTATAACACTGACTCTGTATGGTAAGTTTCACATGCATAAATGCAGAAAGGCAAAGAGCAACAAAACTGTCCACATTTAAAATGACATTTTCAATTAACAATAAGAAACTGTTTCCCCCTCTTTCCTTTCTTTATTTTATAAATAATGTTTGACATAATGTATGTACATACTGTTTTTCTAACTCTGTTTATTTAGATGTCTGTTTATTTCACTGGTCATTTTCTGTACATATCTCAGTGTTTGTTTATATACAAGTTTGTAAATATAGTTGTAACATTAAACCTGGTGTCAAAGTAAACAGCAAATGATCTGATTCCTATTTTATGGTTTTGGCCTTTGCAATGTGCATAAAACTATGTTTGTGACCGTAACCAAAAAGCCCTCTGTCCTTTAAGGTATTAATTAATGAAATATGTAATTTGTATTTTTTATTCAGTCAGATTCATTGCCCTGTCAACATCTTTATTCCCACAGAGAAAACCCAATCAAATTTTTAACTTAAGACAACTTGATTTCCTTGTTTGAAGGGAAAAAAGGAAACAAAAAAGCATACGGCATCACAGCAGGCAAATCAAACAGTAAATTTTACATTATAGAGTGTGTTATTATAATTTAATTGGGGTTTATTTCTCCTTTCATTGTTTCAAAACTCTCCAGCTGTGCCAATGAGTCTCTAACTAGACAAAACCTCAGTGTGACAGTTGAGAAAAAAAAACATAAAAAGAAAGAGAGAAAGCTATTTGAAAAGTCTTTGATCCACTGAGCTTTCTCAGCCTTCGTGCCTCAATCAGACACGGTGGTGATACTTAAAAACCCCTGTGCTGCAGTGAGAGATGGAGAGACCCTCCATACTTCCGATCCCTCCCCCCCTTTAGCTCTCTCACTCACACCCAAGCGAGGCACCTCCCATTGATCTCGCAAATTGTGTCTGAGGCATCTTTATGCTCCATTTCTGCCAAAGCATCTCCTGTCATTGACCAATTACAGCAGAATCAATTACAAGCCTTTTAGCGAGACTGATTCACACCAATCACAAGCTGCGAGGGAAACACACACACACACACACACACACACACGTGCGCGCTAAAAGATTTCGGGACAGACTAAGAGAGAAATGAGGGACACCGAAAGAGAATGAGGTGAAGAGCCGATGCTGAAGTAATATGAGCAATATTCTCGAGCTGTCCACACAGCAAGTGGAATATGTTCAATCAAGCGTCACAGATACAATCCTCATCCTGGAAACACACAAACACACACACATGCCAGCGCATCTCCCCCAAACCCAAGACAACCCGCCTCTCCCCCTCTTCATCCTTCATTTCTAGCTATACAGTGCATTACTCTACAACCCTTTCTCCTTTTTCTCTCTTTCCCCTCATTGATTTGACAGCCAAATTGTGTTTGTCCTAGAAGGAGCTTAAACGTCAGTCCAAGCAGCATGGATTCACAGCAATAACAGCCGCCCTGTGATTTCATCTGAAAATAAATAAAATTAAAAAAAATTCTTCTACTTCTTTGTCAAAGTTTTCAGTGTATGACGGGTTGATCGGCTGGAGAAAAAGAGAAAGACAGACACAGAGAAACAAACAGGAACTGAAGGAAACAGAGGCAGACATAGAAGGGTTTCTATGTGTGAGTGTGTGTGTGTGTGTATCTGTGCAGACTCACACCTTTGAGAAATGACCTATGACAGGGATCCAAGTTTGATATCCCTCTACATGTAAATGTCATGGGCCTTGAGAACTGTTGACACTCGTTCTATCACTGTACGCCTTCGGCTTATCACCACCAAACACTGCCTAATGGAGATGACACATGCCTGTTAGAATACCACATGAGGGCATTGGAAGATTTTGTGTGTGCATGTGTACGAGCACAGTGGCAGTGCTGCCTTGTATTTCTTTATCTCACTTTTAAGCACTGTAGTTACCCTGTCTGAATCTGTCATAGGGTCAAAGGCGCTTAGCAACACATTTTGGTTACATGCCTGTTAGGACCTCGTCTTACATATAATTGGATTATACACTGCCCCCTAGGGTTAGAGGCAAGAGCTACAGCACTCCAGGGCAGTATTGCTGAGGCTTAACACTGCTTAGCGGCTGCAAGAAACCAATATCATCTGTTTGATGCAACATAATGGTGCATCTTTTAGCCCTCTCCTCTCGATTCTTTGTCTAACTTTCCACGTTGCCTCATCCTCTCCCTTGTTGCCTTCACTTATTTCACTCCAACATCTCTTTTTACCTCCTCAGCACCACCCGCACCACCACTACTACCTCTTCTCCCCCCCGCTGTGACCTTCCTGGTGACAGTTGATGAATCAGAGAGTCAGAGAGACACCGGGCGTCGACTCCGTCACGCCCCGTTAATATGCATGCAAATGTAGCACTTGACATTTCTACTATGGCGGGTGCGAGCCGGGGGGACGAGGGATGTGCGGTGTGTTTGAGTTTGACGGGGTGGAGGTGGTAAGAGGGGAGGTGTGGGGGTTGGTGGAGGAAGAACAGAAGTGAGGATGTATAGTAGCATGCACCTGTGTGTAATTCCCTAAAGGTAAATATCAATAGCTGAACCATTAGCCACCTGAGAGCAGAGTTTAGAGGACTGTATTAAACACCTATTACAAATCCACTTGCAATACCGACATAGTAGGGTTTTGACCCCACTGCTTAGTACTTCATTCGATACATGGACTTCATACTTCACACACTCAGTAATATGAGGACATGAGGGAGCATGGTGAGATAAATCCTACAGCCTCGCTGACCTTTGCTAGAGGCCTCACATCCCAGAAGCAGGAGTGTAAATCTCCCACAGTAATTACAGTCTCAAACACCTGCAGTGCTGTATGGAGGGGCCCTGGGGCTGACTTGGGGGAGTATGTGTGAGTTCCTTGGGGGTGGGGAGTCTAAGGAGGGACGGTGAAAGGTGAGACATCCAACCCTCGTAATAACTCAGACCTCTTTCTTTCACCATATTTATCTCGCACCTGCTCCACCACCTCCTGAATAATCACTGAGAGGATGACCGCAGGACAAGAGGAGCTGGATATGAGCAATGAGGGGAAAGATAAGAGAAACATGTTGGCAGCAGAGAAGGATGTGTAAGAGAGAAATGTACAGATTACAAGGAGCTGTTTAAAAGCTGCCTGAAGAGGACATAAGCTATGATGGTGTGGCACCATAATACTGACCAGGGGAACGTCCTCTACTATGTTGGTGCTGTAGGGCAGATTGGTGAAAATGGGATCCATGTCCTGGACATCGGTGATCGTGATGGCCAGGTTTGCAAGCCGGGACAGAGGTCGTGTTTTGTCTTGATCCTGAGAGAAACATACAAAAGTCAGTAATTCCCACATCCCCATCTGTGGGGCTGTGGTGCATTTGGATGGTTAGGATTGATTATTATGAATGCCCAGCAAACACACATGTAGCATGCTCTTCACTAAGAGGTGCAGGTACACAGAGAGGCGAGGTGTTCTGCTAAGGAGCTCTAATGAACACAGAAAGCTTGTCTTATATGTGTCCTGACCGTTGCATTGACAGTGAGCTGAAAGGCTGAGGTCGCTTCGTAGTCCAGAGGTCGGATGACGGTGACGGTGCCTCGGGCTCCGTCAATTGCAAAGAAGGGAGAGGGCGGCTGGAAGGAGAAGAGAACACTGCCCCCTGTGCCCTGGTCTGGATCTGTGGCGTTCACCATGAACACTGATTTGCCCACAGGTGTGTTCTGAAAGACAAATTCAAAAAGAAAAAACACAATTGTTGGCATTGAGATCACCAAACAGTAAGGTAGACATGATCCAAGTACATGACCTGATTTACACTGTGGTAGACTTTTCATTATAACACTCAAAAAGGTTTAGGATGAATATTAATATACTAAAGTAGAGACTGAATTTATGACCTCTGTGTGGTTTACACAGAATCCTTATCTAACTAAAGAGACACAGAGGACTGTATAATTTAATCATATTTTTTGGAACACAGTGTCCAAGTTGTGACTGTGTATATTCATCCACATGACTGCAACTAAGAAGAGATTATAGGTTCATTTGGATAAATACAAGCAACTGCAATGATTAAGATGAAGGCTTTGATCACTCATGATTGGTTGCCCGCCAGAAATGATCTGTCACACCTTGTTTTCAATCACTGCCTTTATGTGGTATGCCCTAGAATTGCTGTGTTTGTATAAAAGCTAAGCAGTAAGAAATATCATATGGGCAGAGCACTATTTGTCAAGGGGAAAAAAGAGAAGGCCAAAAAAAGAAACACAAAGTGAGCACATTACAGAGCAGCAGTGCGTTGGAGGAACATCTTCATTAATTGGAATTTTATCTTAAAACACACAGAAACACACAGCATAAAGATAGGATGTGGAAAACAGATATATCACTGGAAAGAAACACCTGCACACACTCAACTGTGTACACACAACACACAGTGCATGTTTTTGTTAACTGCAGTGTGACCACATGGGGTCAGGGTGCTGAACTGAGCTGAGCCCTGAGCCGAAGCTAAAGTGGCACAGTAAGAGAGCAATTGACCCCACAGTCTGTCTGCACTGTTATGAAGTGAGTGTGGAGGTGCATTTGCATGTGTTTGTCTCTGTGTACATTCTAGTTGTGGTATGGTACATGTTTCTTTTGCTTGGACAGCACAAACATGTGTGATGAGACTTTCTACATGTATGTATTTGTAATTTAGTTCGCAAACAAAATGTGTGTGTGTCTGTCATAAGTCATTTTGGGGACGTCAGACTATATAATTGTGGGTGGATATTGGGATAAAAGTGTTTTCAATTGTTAATTATACTTAGGGTTAGAATAAGTCTTCGGGAAATTAATGTCCATGCTACACATGTGTTTGTGTATACATGTATGCGTGTGTGTAAGGCATGCTGACTCACTGTCTTTCTGTCAAGGGGATGAGGTCATCACCCAGGTAACACAACAGCATAAGAGCAAGGTAAGGCTAACTGCCTTCGTCTACATGACTCTTCATCACTGCTGCCACACATTCAATACACTCCCCTCATTCTCCCTGCTTCTGACATTCACTCCCTTGATCCCCCTCCCATTGGTCTATATGCATGCATGAGCGGTGCTATAAACTGGTCTGTCTAACCGGATTAAGCTAGATTGCCACATGAGAATTGAGGGACAGAAAGAGGAGAGAGATCCAAGTAGAGAGCTGCAGGGGCAGAGGAAGAAAGCAACAGATGCCAGGGAGAGCAACAGATATCACAGGGTTCAGTTTCTCAACCTTGTAGTTGGAGCTTCCACTGTGTGCTGTGATGCCAACAGGGTTACACTTAATTTCTAAAATATTTAGATGTAAAATCTAATCTTTGTGAGGGAAGTAGACATGTGTGTAGAATAACCCTCTTTGGCTCAAAGTAAAAAATCTTGTACAGGGAGAAAAATAAGTAAAATATCAACTAAACTTCGTATCTATGGATACGCCTGTCTTCCACACTAGTACGCAGTATTAGAGATGCTAAAACAGAGACGTTTGGAAACGCTGCTAGCCATTGCTAAACCTCTTGTTTAGCTGTTGTGCAGTTAAACTACATTTCGGAATGATACAGCTGCTTTTACAGTATGTGTGTAGGAAATGAGCCCTTACTTGAACAATCAGCGACAATTCTGCAACTAACAACTGAATGCTTTCTTGTGTACACTGTCACGCACATGCTGAGTATACGTGAGTGGTTGTTTGATGTGTTTTCAGGCGTGTTAGTATGGATGCAAATTAAAACTGACCTTAGGTGTCTCTTTGGTAAGGTGATCAGTTTTCTATATTCTGCTGTTTTGGTCACTGAGATGACACAAGATAAGATGAAGCAAACCTGACACAGTTAACAATCCAATCCTATATAATCCTAATATAATAATTACTTTTGAATAAACATCTTAACTGCATTGATCCACAGCAATGTTCTCATTTTTTCTCTTTCTTTGGGCTTCAAAAGTCTACTGTGAACTGCAGATATACTTGTTCTTTGTAAGGATGCATATATTGTTCATGTGATTTTTAAGCAACCTAAATCTTTGCATCATATCTCATTGCCCAAAAGATAAAGTGGAAAACATGTGTGTGTGTGTGTGAGAGAGTGAGAGAGAGAGAGAGAGAGAGTGTGTGTGTGGCACTGGTGTCTGCTTCATCAACTTTCTTTGGTTGTCAAGGTGGCAGCCAATATTTGAGCATTAGGTGATTGTGTGTGTTTGTGTAGCTCTCTATGGAAAGGGAGGATGATGGAGGATGAGATGTGGATGTTTGGATAAAGTCTGTGAGATGACGTATCAATTTTCCCCCCTAAAGCATGTCAGTATCTATCTCTCTGCACTGTAGCCTGGGAAACAATGATTCATTAATGCCGCCCAGTGTCAAATGCAAGAAGGTTTGGTAAATAACGTCACGCACTCTAATTCCAGTACATAAACACACACATGCAAACAGATTTGAGTGTGCCACACTGTTCAAGCAGCTCAAAGCAACAACAGTTCAAAGCTTTGCCGGATGACCAAGTCTCTGCAACAAGTGTCAATGTGCCCGTGTGGTTCTTCAGAGGTTAGCAGGCTCGGCTATGTGCAGCTGAACATCATCTTTGAGCTGCAATTACACTCTGGAGGCTCTTAAGGAATTACAACATCACCATTACCCCTTCCACTTATTAATTCTTATTTTCATATTTTCCCT